AGCAGTGCGAATCCATCGACCCAACTGAGGATCGAACCCGGGACCTCACAGATAGAACGCAAGCAAACCACCCACTCGGCCACCGGGCAGCTGATCAGGCCGTTTCTCATTTTGAATTTACGCTATATAGCACAGCCTGTCTATGCGATCTTGTTGCGAGTATCGGTCCTCGCTCATCTGAGCACTAGCCTCTGGGGATATGACTTGGTTGGAAACTTTCACAACCTGATCAGTTGTTTAAAATACAAATCAAATCCTCCATTTATCCCGTGAAACAAATATTCAGGTTGTGAAAGTTTCCAACCGAGTCATAACTCTGGAGGTCAGTGCTGAGGTGAACGAGGACCGATACTCGCAACAAACTCACATTGGTGGGTTGTGTCATATTGTGTAAATTCAAAATGAGAAACGGCCTGATCAGCTGCCCGGTGGCCGAGTGGGTGGTTTGCTTGCGTTCTATCTGTGAGGTCCCGGGTTCGATCCTCAGTTGGGTCGATGGATTCNTGAGACCCAACTAGGTCGAAACAGCTGTCCAGTGCTTCCCAGCTTTTCAGCTCACGCCTCATTTACACGAAGAATTCGTCATAAAAAAAACAAATTCTCCATTCCTCTCATGGGTCATACTATCCTTCAATTTATTATACACTGAAAGCTATATAGTTTTGCTCGTGGTGTTTTTGTCCATGCTGCCCGTGATCGGTTTCCCCCTGTCATTTTCCCTGTCTCCCCTCTGGATTTCAGAATATCCTTTACTTCAGGTGGCTGCGTTACACTGTGCTTCAGAATTAGCCGTCAGTTCTATTCCAAACGGCCCTCAACTGCGGGAGTAAGCATTTTTTGCATTCGCTTTAGAGTATCTTGTTAGTGTCTGGGAATACAAACTTTTCCATCACGGCATTCCAAGGTGAAAAAAATAACTTTATCTGTTTCTTTATGCCTACAAAACACGATATCGTCTATATGCATTGCTACGTGAAGTCTTCTCAACCTCGTTGACATGTAGCTCTAGCTGAGTTCTTGACACCTTTGGAAGTTCCCCATGTGCAGTGTTGAGTAAACGCAAAGCAATTACTGTTTATTGTTGCAACCAAGAGAAATCAGTTTCTTTTTTACTACTAATATAAGTGTTTGCTGGTTTGGTTGTGACTTAGTCCCGCTCTCAGAAAACGATATTGCAATAAGCTCTGTCGAATGGAAACTATCTAAGACGATTGGACACGTTGGACTCAAAGCCCTATTTGTATCTGGTGTTGTCTCTTGATCCTAGAACCTATTAATAGATCTGCACTATGAACCTGTATTTTGATAAAAAGAATAACTTTAAACTTCGTGTCGATCCCTAAGTAGGTGTGTCTTCATATCAAAACTCCGATTACTGGCTATGACCAGTTTTTATCTTCCGCCAACAAGACTGTCCCGTATCGCTGTCCCTGTTAATTTCGCAAACTTGGACATTCTGCAGAATAATTTATCTAGTTTAACAAACGATGGAGTTGAGCTCCTCCCAGGAAACAAACTTTTTGGCTTGAATCATGTCGGTAACATCGGTTTCCTGGGCGACTCGCAATCCACCACGGTTTGAACTGCCTTTCTCTACTTACTGATTTCATGTGATCATTTCCTCCCTACGAGTGAATCAACTTCATTGATGTCTCTTGTGATTGCTGTCCACACTTATCGGTTTGCGGCAAGGTCCGTGTAGATTGGCACTCAATTCTTGTTCCATTCTCGTGTGTGGTGGTGGTTAAGGTTGCTGTTTCCAGCATTCTTTGGTTCGAATCCCGCGAAGTAACTCCAGTGGTGATCAGCTTTGCTATCACCCAATTCAGTACCACGCCTGACCTGGCGGGACCTTATGTGGTTCGCCACTCTGTCCCAAGACATAGGTTCCAGATTCCTATTTGCAGACAGTGGGTCATCTTGACTTTAGGGTATACACCTCTTCATTCTATATTGTGGTATGTAATAAAAAATGTTAAAGTATCGAGTTGCATAACAAGATCCTGAGGATCATCATTACGTTTGACGGCTGACAGGCCGTTACTCGCACACTGATTTGCTCAACTCGTTTTCGCAAATGTTTCCAGTCTTCCCGGACTACTGGTGACTGCTCTCTCACAGGGGCAAAATGCTGTGGTTCGTGTGCGTGCCATACAAGAGATTTGCTCACGTGGGACCAAACTGCGCCAATTCCGCGCTTCTACAGTGTCGGACAACCCACAAACATCTGCGGAACCCGCTGTTTCTGGATCTGCCATCACTTTACTATTGTCTCACTTACCCAGTTTGGTTACCGGAGTGGTCGATTGTTTGTCACAATTCGGTGAACCCGTGCTCACAGATGGCCTAGATGCTTTGTGTGGGTTGCTCCGGATCGATCCGCAAGGCTTCACGTGTTCCGCTCGTACCCAGGTCACTTCAATCCTAGTCGAATTGTTCAAGCACTGTTTCGGTGGTGAGTAATTCTACTGTGTTTGGTGTACTCTACTTGTTCTGAGCAGCTTGCCCGTATCTGCTAGCATTTCCTGTTAATGTTGTCTATTGTTTTTTAGCTGAAATTTGTTGTTAATGTCATCATAAATGTCTCAAACTAACCGAGTTTCGATGGTTGCCAATTTTTTCAGTTCCGCTCTGTTTTCATTACTTTGGATGTGTTCGCATCAGCCATATCTCATGTAATTCTCCTGTGCTGTTACTTCTATACCTTTTCAACTTCAAGTGAATCCGTTGTGACTTCAGGTGAATCCAACCAATAGCACTCCATTAGATACCCCGACAAGATGATCGGTGTTTTGGCCGTCAAATGTCACCGATTGGACCGGGTCCGTCTAAACCCCCTCCAGTTCGAATGAACTAATTTCTCGGTAAACAAACAAAAGTACATTTTTCGCGAGTTACCGAGCAAGGTTGAATGTTTCGGTAGTGTGGTGGGTGGGTCGAGGTGGGTCGTTCTC